CCCGAGTGATTGAACACAGAGTGAGACACCGAGCGGTGGGCAAACGGTGCTGAATTTGGCAAGGAAATGGCACTTGAGGAACTTAGTGAGCTGAAAAATCGGTTACCACGAGAAACAGCACTCGGAAAAGATGGCATACCTTTTTACAATTCTATGGAGGTAGACGTTTATCATCCCAATGCTAACAATAATTTTCTACTAGCGTCTGTTTATATATTTTAGACACAATCAACAACCGAATACACACAAGTAGGGGAAGGACAAAGCGAGTTCAGTTCATGCGATTAAGCCACAGCAACGGAAACCTGATTGTTGATAATTCGATCAATCGGTTAAAACCCGTGTCCCCGCAGCGTGTGAACAAAAAACAGATAGAAAGGAAAAGCACTACAGTGTTGTGTGAGTGCCCATGCCGTTGGTCAACTACGAGCAATCGACAATCCGTCGTTAGCGGATTGTCCAAACGACAGGCGCGACGCAAACCGGATCGCTACTTCCAGCTGACGGCACAAATTTGACACGGGGATCAACAACAGACGACAGCATGATATGAAATCGCACGCGCATGACCACTCAAACGGGACCAGCGCACAATCCGACCCAGTCAGATAATCGGGCTCTAGGCAGTCTATCAACGGTGCTCAACGGAACAAGCGCGTGGGAAACGCATATCAGATATGCACGGCACATTCGAGTTGCAACTCGATGCGAGTTTACGTGATATGAGCGGAAAAAAATTGTCCGTTCTCGTTAGCATTGTAGGAGAAATTTGTTCCCATCCTGTCCACCTCTTTTTATAAGCGTTTACCGGCATCAAAAATAACCGAAGAAAAAACGCGATAAAGTTGGTTCCTATGGCACCGCGAACAAAGTTGGAAAAGCAAATAGAAATGGAAACAACTAAGCGGAGGAGAGGAATGAAGAGAGCTATTTGAAAAATCCCACAACGACCGCAAATCAAAACACTAAAAGCCGGGAAAAAAACTGCGCGGAAACTGAGGCTCAACTGTGACAACCATGACCGTCAATGTAACATAGGCTAGTTCTTGATCGTTGCATTTCAATGAAGAAAAAAATGTGACTAAATGACGAGAAATTTCCCAATGCCAACGGGAAACGAAATTTGTGGGGATGCGGCAATGAGAGAACAATTCTAACTTGGGTCCTATTCACGCAAGAATTTCAACATTAGGCTTGATTAAATCAAATCTGACCAACTGTATTTACTTCACTGTTCAGACTACTGATTCACCAGTTACACGTGTCAACACATCCAATGACCAACAGGGATTCTCTACCTGAACGTACTGCTCATTGTCTCCTTCGGATGCGAGTACACAACTTAAGCTGTCACAATTCGACATGCTGTCATTTGTCTAGTGGGTATAACCCATTGCAAATGACAGATTTAATCCACATGGTCTAGACGTCTCCTCCTACCCAGCC